CATTTCCCTTTCAGCAAAATTGGCCATGCAATTTATTTCTGGGCCAAGAAATACAACTGGGAAAAACTTCGAACAGATAAACAATATCATCAGATAGTATAAACATGCATTATTCTCCCTTAGGGCAAATGGGTATTGCTTAATCCCTACCCTGCTAACATCCTGCAGAGTCTTGGCAATTCTGTTGGGCTAAATATGTAGCATCTTTTAGGAATCTTCTTGATGCAGACTTATGAGACTTATGCTCTCTGCTCCTGCTGAGGGACTATGTGCTACATAAGGAACATGTTTTCCTTACAGCAGTCTCCTGTACTTATTCTTTCCTGTGTTAATTATCTTCTGCCTGTCAGAAATGCTTCCTTACTCTTCTCTTCTGTAGCACTGCCTGTTGAATTCTAGGTATAATCTTTACAAATTTATCTGTAGCAATATTTCTTCCATGAGACTTTGCTTGACACCTGTGACCAAAACTATGTTTTCTTTTTAATCCTCTTGGGAAAATTGCTACTGCTCATGTTGAATGATGATATTATAATATCACATATTTTATGATAATCATTTTCTTTCCTTCTCCTCTATGAAATTATCACCATGGCTCCCAGTCGCTCATGTGCTCACTGAGGGTAGGGAGAATATGTGATTCATTTTTCTCAGCCATTAAGTACATTGCACGGAGGTGATAGTGCGGCGAAAGCCACATGTACATAGAGGTGACTTCTCTGTAGAAATTAATTGCCTTCTTCATGCTTCTCTCTAAGGCTATATACTTCGCAAGAATGATTGTAGCCAAGAGAATGGATCTGGACTTTTTTAAATCAAGAAGGATCTTTTTTTCCAGAATGGAGACTTCCAAAATTATCTCTGTGTATTAATTCTCAGGGATTGGCAAACTATAGCAGAAAGGACAAATATACCCCTTGATATTCTGTCAGGACACAGACACACTCATCTCTTTTAGATCTAAAGCAGCTTCTATGCTACACAGCAGAGCTGAGTAGTTGTCACAGAACTTAAATATTTACTACTTGAGACTTCAGAGAAAAAGTATACAGAACGTAAGGGTTTAAAAAAATTCAATTGCCAAGTCCATTAGAGAAACAAAATCCTGAGTTTTCTTTATACACAACTTCTCCTGAGTCTCTTATTCCTATTGTGGATCATAAATTTCCATGTTGTTTCCCTGATTTCCCAAAACTCTTTGTGGGAAAAAATATTTTTTGATGATAAAAATCTTTTAATGGATTGTATCTTCTCAGGCTCAATGATTTGAGGGTCACCAGTTTGTAAAACCTGCCTTAAAAAATGCAAGGAGAATTTGCTACAGTGAATTAGGGATTTTTCTCATCATCTGATATAACTCTCAGTGATTGTACATTTTCTATTTATTTATTTTTTCTCATACTATTAAGCAACTTAGAAACTTCACTGACCCATAATGGAAGGCCCATTAATGCTTCCTTGTGATAAACGCTTTACCATAGTTTGTGCAATAAACAAGTGAGGAGGTAATTATCTGAGTGATATGGATAATTAACATCCACACAGTAGCAATGTACTTGAGAGAAAAAATCTATGATCTTGGATGTAAATTATTTGTGTGATTTTAATAGAGTCAGGAATATCAGGTTTTTGATTTATTACTGTGAAAAGATCACACAATTATAAACCTTATTAGATAGAAGTAACTTTCTGTATTTTCTTCCTCAGACTTAAAAAAAAAATGGTTTGCCTCATACCAATTCTGGAAGAATAGTTTCAACTTGAGTAAACAGGTTAATGATGTATAAAGATGTTAAATCAAAATGTATTTTTCCCAGAAGTCTTAGAAGTGTGAACATACTTCATTACTTCTTTCACTTAACCTAACTGTACATATATAGAAATTTTTAATTATGTTAACACATGTATACTCCAAATAGACTACTAGGATAATCTCACAAAGTTGTATGAACACATAACAGCCTCTTATTTATACACATGAAACTTCCTTAGTCTAATCCCAGGGGAAATATCTGCTTATTATCAAAGGAAAAGTAGCATGAGGTAATAGAAATTTCTATGGTTTTTGAATTGTACTCCATTCAGATCTCAGTCTATCTGCTTGGCTTCCAGAACTTAAGCTTTTACTGGAGCAAAACTCTTTTTATAAATTAAGACTGGGTTTTTAACTATACCCAGGAGTTTTTAACTGGGTATAGTTAACTATCCCCCAGCTTTTCAGTGATATGACTGGGCTCCACCTATTTCATATAAAATTCTTTCTTTATGGTTTTTAAAATATTCTCTTTGGTCAGTGTTTGGTTTCCTTGACCTATAGTATGATTGAGAACAATACCAATAATAGTTCAATGCAAATTGTTACTTTAAATAATTTACATGATAAATACATTTGTTATGGTAATTTTAAAAGAATTCTGAAGAGTTAAATGAGCTATGCAGAATGTTATTAGATTTTAAGTAATGTAATTTGAACAAAGGAAAATTAAGTAACATCTTAATTGCAATAAATAGAAGAGATTTTTTCAAGCTTACTGAAATACCTTCTTAATTTATTTGTAATTTGTTACATAACTGTGCTTAATAGTAAACAAATTGTACAGGGAGAGAAAAGTTTAATTAAGAGTAAGATCAGGATAAAAAAAACCCTGAAATAACACAAAATAGAAGCTATAGGATGTTTTATATATATATATATACATATATACACACACACATATATAGAAAGTATATATTAGGAGTAAAAAAGAGTGGTAATAAATATATATGTATATATATATGACATTATATATACACATATATCTGTATATATGTATATATATTTACACACATATATGTTTATTAGTACACTTTTTGATTTCTAATAAAAATTATTTATAATGGACACATCTTTATTGATGAATATCAGAACATACTCCTACCATATGTGTAGAGGGATAGGTGAACATAAAGAATACTAACTCTCATTCTTCAAATAACTTATTATACTGCAGGAGAGAGTACTGAGATCTGTCATATATAAGAATGTTTTTAAAAGTTTTTACACCAGTCTAGAATTGTCTGTCTTTATGTAAGCATATATGTATGTATGTGCCTACTTACCTACCTACACATTCCTATACATGTAAACATATAAGACATGTATGTCACTAATAATTCTTAAAATTATGGGCTATTTATACTATATTTTTATTTGAATGGTCTGAGAAAGTTTACTCTGAGTTGCCTTGAAATAGGTAACAAAGTAGAACATGAAATTAGTTTATTTTCAATTATTTTTTGTGCATCTTCACATTCACTAAAATGATATCATAATTTTAGAACATGTGATGTGATCCTTTGCATAAAAAACTAATCAGAAATATAATGTAACACTGAAATTTAATTATGCTTATATGAGGAATAAAGTTATGGTTGAAAATATAAAACTTCAGGTGCACTCAAATATAAATACAGACACATGTCTTATATGCACAGAAAAGACCTACAAGACTTTAAAAGCTAGAACACATTTTTTTAAACATTGGATTTATAATTATAAAAACATGGTTATTTTAAATATTTATTTTTTAAATTCTACAAATCCCTCTAAAAACTGTTTTTTAGTATTGATTCTTTAATTTTACTTTCATTTAACAATCAATATGTCCATAAATATCCACTATTTTAGATTTTGAAAATTGTCTAAGCCAATTTTTCTCTTTAACTTTTAAATGTTTAAATTATAACTTGACAAATTATAGTTGTATATGTTCATGGAGTACAAAGTGATATGATAATTTTAACCTATAAAACAATGATTAAAACGCATTATTAACATACCCATCAGCTCAAATATTTAAATTTTTGTGGTGACAAATCTGAATTTATGTTAAAAGATTTTGAAATGTACAACACTCAATTATTAGCTGTATCTACCATGTTGTGTCACAGTTATAAGAAAGAACCTCAAGAGTTTCTTCGAATAAAGGAAGCCCAGTGACAAACTTTTGATATTCTGAAATATTGTTCAAAAAAATTTTTGTGTGTACCAGGGATTGAACCCAGGGGCACTTAACTTCTTGACCCCTAAACCACATCCCCAGCCCTTTTTATCTGTTTTATTTTGAGATAGGGTCTCACTAAGTTGCTTAGGGCATCTCTAAGTTGCTAAGGCTGGCTTCGAATTTGTAATCCTCCTGACTCAGCCTCTTAAGCCACTGAAATTATAGGCATGAACCACTGCACTGAGCTTATGTTTGAATTTTAACTAAGCTATTTAATTATGAATTTTCATTATTAGTACCTTGACTCATTAGCAGTATTTTATGTTTGTATCCTTTCCCATCAGAATCTTTTTCTTTTTCTATTTCTATGAATTTAAATATTATTAGGGAACTAAAATACATTCTTCCTCGCTTTCATTAATGTAATTGTTAGCCCAATTTTACCTTAATTCCTATTTTGTTACTCTGAACTTCTAAAAGCCATTTCGTCTGCAATGAAAACACAAGCCTCACTTCAGAAAAACATAAAAGAAAATTGATTTTCATCCTGAAAATGTCAAACTTCTGCCTATAATACTCAGATATGTTTCTCTGCAACAACAGAGTTCAAAAAGAGCCATCGACCTGATGGCTCTTTGACACACAATGATGGATGCAATGTGTCTACTACTTTACTGCCTGAATGTCCTCCAAGAGAATGAGTCAATCAATGCAGAATAATAAATCTAAAGTGAGTGGAAGGTTTGCTTGTTTTAAATATATTAAAGGAGAAACAAGTGGTATTTCACTTCTGTGTGAAATTTTAAAAACTTTGGGATTAAATCTTTTCTCTCCTCCCAGCTTTAGATGAATCAGATACAAATATATGTTCTTAAAAATTTGAGCAATGTCTGGGAATTCAATACCCTATGTGCTTATTGAAGTTCCTGTGAGACCTAGGCAGAATGCATGGTTACTCTTCAAAGGAAAAGGAAACGATATAAAAGTACAACTTTGAGGAAAACCACTGCTACTTACTGGTGCTGTTGTCTTATCCCTCTGTCAAACACAGGTTCTGGCAACTTCAACTGTTTCTAGTGAGTGAAGCTTCCATTTTCCTATAGGACAGAGTTATTGATCAATACTTTATTAAAAACACAGTCTTGTATTTAAGTTCAGAACAGAAGAGCAATTTATTTCCTTATACATTATATACAAACTTAAGACAAATTACTGCAAATTATAAGAAGGAAATCATGCAATCTTAAAGGAAAGTTTTGGACACAAAAGTGTTGGATAATTCTCAGTTCAAACATCACCCTCACCTACTACAGTGGTACATACTAGTAATCCCAGCAGCTCACCAGGCTGCTACAGGAGGGTTGTAAATTCAAAGCCAAACTCAGCAACCTAGGGAGACCCCGTGAAACTTAGAGGGATCTTGTCTCAAAGATCTTGTCTCAAAGATTTTGTCTCAAAGATCTTGTCACAGGTTGGGATGTGGCTCAGGGTTTAAGTGCCCTGGGTTCAATCCCTGTTAGTAAAACCACCAAACAAAAAAACCTTATCCCTCACTCTGTATATTGTCATTTTACCCAGGTTATATTTGTACTTAGGATATGAAAAATTACTTTTAGCTACATTTTTTATATGACCAGTCTCTACCATTTCACCAAAGTCCTAATAAGAGAGCACAGAATAAATTCTTCTTAAATGAAACTTTAAAAATATATTGTTTATCATGTAATATAGATTCAAGACCATCAAAGGACACTAAGTAGATTACTTTTGAGTCTATAACATCTTTTAGGTTTGAGAGTTTTGTCCTATACTATTATTACCTTGGTGTCACAATTTTTATATATATGTTTGTCAAAGGAGAAATAAATAATCTTATGGTAAGGCAATGCAAAATCTTGAGAAAACTTAAATATTACTATTATTCCTACTGTTTTTGATATTCCTCAAAGTTAGAGATTATTTCTTAATTAATCATATATCTTTTTATATTTCAGGAAATAGGTACAGAAATAGATAGAAATAGGTATATTTTGTTTCAAACATCTAAACATATTCTTTTACAATTGTGAAGAATATAGGACTTCAACAAACATACTTAATTTATGGAAAAGAAAACCTATGACTTGTTTCCTACAACCAAATTTTATTTGTTTTCTATAGAATAATAGGAGGCAGTTAAAAATACCAAAATGTTACTTTAAAATTATTTCTATAAATGATGTACACTAAAATACAACATAAAAGATAACAAAATAAGAAGAAAATTCATACATCAATTTTATGCTATAAATATTAATAAATTACCTCTTTAAACGAAGAAAATGAGGCAGACAGTGCTCAACATTTAAAAAAATTTAGCAGCATATTCAGCAACTTTTTTTTCACAATGAAATTTAAAGTTAAAATAATTGATAAAACATATCAGTAGAACTTTTTCAACCAAACTATGGATGATGTTTAATAGAATCTTCAAAATTTTTCCACTACCACGCCCTGCTCCTAAGCCTACTGTGGCTCCCTGGTAACAAATAGGAACTGTTTTTGTTTTTTTGTTTGTTTGTTTTTTAACAACTTCAAGGCTTCATGGAACACATTTTGGAAACTCCTTACAAAATTAGGTTATTGCAAGAAATTAAATAAGATTGAGTTTTTTTTTTAAGTGGTTTAAACAATAGTAGTCACAATAAGAAAAAAAAGTTATTACAGAGATTTCCTGATTGGACATTAGTTTTAGTTTAGCTTCAAGGACCAGAAATAGCCAGATTTTCCCTAGGGGTTCTTTATATCTCTTATAGTGTTGAAACTCCAAATAGTCCCTTTCTAAAAGAAGTTATTTTGTATTGTGCTTTGAGTCTATTTGGTAATACAGTGAAGTTGCCCACCAGGATTTCTGAGTAATTATTACACTTTAATATAATACAGTAGAAACTGTAGAATATTATAAATTAGTACTTAGAAGATTTAATGAATCCACATCAGGAGCTAAAAGATGAATGAAACACTAGCTTTCAGCATACATAAATTGTGATTCTGCAAAAAAAATTAATTTCATGCGATTGTGCATATACTTTCTTGAAATAACTACAAGACCAAATAATTTCTTAAAATGCTACTTTTTAAAAACATTTCTGTTACCTAGATTAGAAGAACAATAAATCAGAGCTTATACAGAGAATGTTAGATTTTAATAAATTAATAGCTTATACATTTTCAGAAACTGAAAATGTTTATGAAGTAATATCTTAAATTGGTAAAATGAAGTAATATCTTAGAATTAGTACCAATCTCTAAAGTATTTCATTTAGGGGAGGAAGCTAGCAGACCAGAGAGAGGCAGCATTCTGTGTTGCTCTGTGATCTAGATATCACCGAGTCAAAATACTACATCTCTGAGATGCAGCTGCTCTCCACAGAAATCACCAGTGCTGTGACCCCATGCAGGGCTCCCCACCTCAGCATTCCAGTAGGATGCTGGTCTTTGAGCAGAACCCAAAGCCCAAAGTTCTAGCCCACACAAGGCTCAAAGAGCGCCTTAGAAGAATCACCTATCAAAACCTGTGCAGATTGGCAAGACTTCATTCTACTCCCATGCAGGTCACTTAGCTGCTACCGATCCACAGCATAATACCATTGCCCAGCTCCCCCCACCTCACCAGACACCCTGGTGCTGAAAGCAGATCGCCTCCATCTTGGTGCAATATTCTTTCCATATTAGGTGGGGGCAGCTCTCAGATTGGATCTCCAGTGACCAGGTACCAGCTTTCCAATCTTCCTTCCTCCCCAACACAGTATCTGCCCAACAAAGGTGTGCAGTGTGATCAGGGAACTGCTCAAGGGAGCCCTGGTGTAAGAGTTTCCTAAATTGGGAACTGCTAAGGGAAAGGGAGATGGGGCTAAAATTTTGAGCCTAACAGAGAGAACAGGAACTTGGAAATCTCCAGGCAAAATAGGGAGATAGTACCGGGTGCTCAAATTATATGAGTGGTCATAAAAAGAGACCTGTGAGGTGCAGCCACTCTGCAGGGTCTGGGTGCCTCTCCCTGCTTCCAGGTAACCTGTGCCAGGACCAGTCTTCCCACCCTAGTTACCTCCAACATCCTGAGGGCAGAGACACCAGCTTACAATAGACGACCCAACCTGTTGGATGAGAAGAGAAGCAGGAAAGCTATGGATCTCTAAAACTAGCAACAACTCTGTTTTCTGCCTTCTGTTTTTGTTTTTGTTTTTTCTCTCTTTTACCCCTCTGTACTCTAGCTATCATATCCCCAACATATGTGAAACCAAGAATTTCCCAAGAAATATGATTTTTGAGGACCCAGTCATCTGAATAATATAACATAGAAGTGTTGTATGTACCCTTTTTTCTTTTCCATTTTCTTCTTTCATTTTTCTTTCCCCCTCAAAATTTTACTATTTTAACAATTGTGTGTTTGTTTTATGAACTCTACTGTTTTCCCAAGTACTTTTTTACTCTAAATTACTTCCTCTTGCGATTAACCTCTTCATTAGATTTCTCTTTCACACATCTTAACATATATTAAAACTATATCCTTACAGCCTACCTCCTCAACATATCATCCTATGTCCCCACCCACAGTTCATTGTCCATTGTCAGAAACTGTAAACCTTTTTACAAAACTACTGATTATATTTTAGATAATAATTGAATCCAACATTTTTGTACATTGAGATGTAAACATCTTAATAACAACAAATTGTTCACAGGCAGTATATTGTTGATATTGGATTTGTTAACATTGTCTCTCCCCACAAAGAAGAAATCTTGGAACCCCACAAGAGTACTACAAACTTATAGGGTAAAAACAGTAACACTCCAGACCCACAGAGCTGGAAAGGAAGACAAATGAGCAACATAAAAAGACAAGGGAAGAAAGTGCCCCAGACAAATCAAGACACCACATCATTAAAACCATTAGCAGCCACAGCAGAAGAAATTATAGAGAAGGAGTTCAGGATGTACATGTTTAAAATATTCTGTGAACTCAAGGAAGATATAAGAGAGAAAATATAGGCAGTGAAAGATCACTTCCACAAAGAGCTACATAATCAAATACAGGAAGCAAAATATCAACTGAACAGGAAGATAGAGGTTCTAACAAAACAACAACAAAAAACCCCAGAAATTCTTGAAATGAAAGAAACAATAAACCAAATTAAAAGCTCAAATGAAGGCATCACCAACAGAGTAGACCACTTGGAAGATAGGACATCAGAAAATGAAAATAAAATATATAATCTTGAAAAGAACATAGACCACACAGATATAATGGTAAGAAATCACAAGCAGAACATTCAAGGAATATGGATCAAATTTAAGAGTTATTGGGATAGAGGAAGGCAGAGAGGTTCAAACCAAAGGAATGAACGATATATTCAATGAAATAATATCAAGAAACTTTCCAAACATAAAGAATGAATTGGAAATCCAAATTAAAGATGCCTACAGGACGCCAAATATAAAAAATCTCAACAGATCCACACCAACGCACACTATAATGAAAATGCCCAATATACAAAATAAGGAGAGAATTTGAAAAGCCACAGAGAAAGGAATCAGATTACATCTAGGGGACAACCAATTAGGATAATAAGAGATTTTCAACACAGACCCTGAAAGCTAGAAGATCCTGGGATAACAAATATCAAGCTCTGAAAGAAAATGAGTGCCAATCAAGAATCTTGTATCCAACAAAATTAAGCTTTAGATTTGAAGATGAAATAAACAAAAGTTAAAATAATTTATAGCTAGAAAACTGGCACTACAAAATACCCTTGGAAAAATAGTTCATAAAGAGGAGACAAAAAACAATAATGAAAATCAGCAGAGGGAGGTAGTATTCTAAAGAAAAAACTAATCAAAGAAGAAAATCAAGTCAAGTTAAATCACAAAAATAAACGAATATTTTTGGGAATACAAACCATGAATCAATAATAACCCTGAATGTTAATGGCTTAAACTCAAAAGACATAGGCTGGCAGATTGGATCAAAACAAACAAACAATATGCTGCCTCTCAGAGACTCATCTAATAGGAAAAGACATACATAGACTGAAAGTGAAAGGTTGGGAAAAATCAT